ACAATATCGTGTATGGCCATCTCCACCATGTGGATCTAATATCGGAAGTCAAGTTATGAGAAGAAGAGAGCAGCCTTGTAGAAAACTTCCAAGGCATCATCGTGCATCAGTTCCTCGCCCTCCAAGAAAGAATTAGGAACACTACTCGATTCGGCAAAGACTTTCACATATACCCATCACAGATAAATGAATAAAGGGTTAACTGCCTACTTCTCCATCAAATGTTGCAACTAAAACGCTATTATCCTAGACAATTAGATAAACGCCACTTGGTTTTAATTAAATGGAAATCAATTTCATTTGGAGATTTATTAAGTGTTTGACAAGAACATTATCTGAAACATGAAAAACGTCTCCATCATAATTTTCTCTGTAAGCAAAAGTAATAAACCAAACGTATATATTGTTCATAATTTGATTCAAACGTATCAGTTTACAAAGGGAACACCAGAAGGAACTCTCTGCGCATAATCCACATACTCTGTCCCAAAAAATTGCTTCAAGTAATGCTCTTCATAAGGTATTCTCTGTGCAAAGAACCGCCACACCACAACCGCAAACGCAATGGCCGAAACGGGATTACACAGCATCACTTGCGTTCCTACAGACCAAATGAGAAACCCCGAGTAACTCGGATGCCTCATGATTCGATACACACCTTCCGTCACAAGCCTGTGATGCTCCTCCCGGCGGATCTTTATAAGGTGCGTGAACGATCTACCCGCTGTGATTATCGCGGTTTTGCGGATGATTTCTCCGAGAACTATCATCAAAAGACCGAAATTGCTGATCCACCAGTGCTGTTTCATCCCCGGGAAGAGAACAATCTCAACTAGATACTCGAGAACTGAGACTAGCATCGCTAAAGCATAGTGTTTGGTGATCAAAAGTGAGCTTAAAGTTACTCTCGATGGTCCGTGAATAACTATGGCGAGAATGTATTCCGATGTGTGGAAGAGGATTATCGCCAAGAACATTTGAGTTAACTGTCTGACGCCAGTTTCACTAAAAATCTCTGTCATTGATTCTTTACAAGATTTATCGCAGACCTGAACAAACACGCGGAGGCATACCTTTTCAGTAAGAAAGACGGTTTTCGATAACAGATCCAAGAACATCATTTTCCTATGAAGAAGATATAAGCCAAAGATGGGAACAGTAAGCATTCAAGTAATAATCCAATCCCAATTCTCACTACACTAAAGATTTCTATAAAAACCCAAATCTCAGGAACACTAAGCTCAATCAATGTAACAAATCAACATTACCTGTTATTAATTAGCTCAATTTTAGATAGATGTTTATGTGGGATCATCAGCTTCATGATCATACTGGCTTGTGTCTTTAATGTTCTTCTTAACACTAAACTACAATCTTCTTAATCCAACAATGCTTCCCAAAAAACAGTTTTTATATGAAAAAATTGAAGATCTTACACACAAAAATTTATAAACAGATATGTATATACTTCCTAGTACTCAAATTTCACCGGTTTCAGAAAGTTCTAACCACAAATTTCTTCACATATCAATTGTCACAAACGAAGAATTGAAACAAGAAACACTAATTAGTCACGAAGATCTGAGACATACCCACTTGAAATTGACGGTTTCTGCGAGAGAAAATACGTTAAAGTCTGGAAATTTCTCGAGGCAGTGACAGAGAGAATCGCGTGGACTTTGAAGGAGAGAAGCAAAGTTTCCACCTTTACCCTTTATTCTTTGCTTTTAAGATGATTAAGGGATTGCTTTTCTTAACACAGAGATCTCATCTGTTCGATTTGATCTTCGCCGATAAAAAAAAAAAAGAAGTCTTGTCTGAATCATGGAGCTTCCGGTCAAAATCGATGAGAAGAAAACGTTGCAGGAAGAAGTCAGGAACTCCGAAATGTCAAGAACGAAGCAGTTTTAGGGTTACCGGTTCGATACGGTTTGTTCCGGTTTAATTTAGAATTATGGTTAAATTTAAATTAGAAAGTGTCATGCCTCATGACTCCGACTCTCCGACACAAAGTTGAGAAGTTTTGTACACACTTTTTCACTCAAAAATGCATTTTCTTCATTTCCGTGTGTTCTGTTTCTCCGGTTTTGATGTGGAAAAAATAAGTCATCTTTTCGAATCCAAATATTAATCTTATTATGACCTTCGACTATGAAGACAATGTTTTCAGGTGATTCTGTACCAATGCGATTATAGTTGAAGGCATCCAGCAACATTTCATCAACGGTGTAGGTTTTTCGTTCTTCTGGAAATTCGGCTACATGGTAACGAAAAGCCTTATCGATGAACCGCGCAAAAAGGATGCAAATCGGCTTGAATCAGGAATTCGGGGTAAAGCAAGATTCGCCGAAAAAGGATGATCTAGCTTCTTGGAAGCTGTTCGGCGGTGACAAGAAGACGATTTCGATGAAGATCTCTTTATATTTGAAAGGACTCTGAGAATCTATCAAGTTCAATAGCTCATCAGCTCTCGTAGCGGAGAGCCGAACATTCATATTAGCTCTCTGTCATTTACTTGCAAGAACTATTCCCATGGCCCAACAAAAGTACGAGGTCAAGACAGAGAAAGTCGTCTTCTTCATTTTTTTCGAATTGGAATTAGAATAATCTAAACTCAATCCATGGATGTGTCTAAGAAAAGAAAATAACTACAAGTGTGAGCTCAACTTCATAGACTTTTTTAGTTGTTCTTCTTCTTTTATGGCGTTTTTAGCACAAACAATGAATCAACCGATCTCTCACTCTCGGAAACAAATTTTGAGACAAGATTCTTAAACCTCCTAAAACCCTAATCAAACAAGCAATAAGCTTTAAGCTTAAATTTAACATAAATTGAGCCAACAAATCAAGCACTCGTTGACATAAAAACAGAATATATACCACTAATTAAAGATCACACAAAAGAAAAAGACCTTTAATTTTTAACGTGGGTCTTCTTCTTCCCTCCGACCCGACCCGGTATTCCCACCCGACAAAGAAGCAAGCAAATTGAGATGATGACCCGGTAAATAATTCCCGACTCTCGCCGCCGAAGCTTCACCCATTGCTGCGGCGGCTGAAGCTTCCTGCTGTTGCTGATGACGGACAAAGAGTGTAGCTGGTTGCTGCTGCTGCTGTGTAAACAACATCTCCGGTGGAGCTCCGGTCGCAAAGCTCCACACTTGTCCGAAATCCGACCTCGTTGGAACCGCCCAAAACCCACCACCAGAACCACCACCCATAAACGGAGAAGCACCCATTGTGGGTCCCACTGTTAACTCTCCCCCGGCGCCGGGATCTCCTTCCTCTGCTCTCACGACGCGTTTTCCGAGCGTGAAAGGAGAAGAAGTGGAGAGAGAAGCGGTGGAGAAACTCGCCGGAGTTGTCCCTGTCCCGGTGGCGGCTATGATTGAAGGCTCTGCTTGACGGAGTAGCCACTCTATGGTTTGGCCGTCGGATTTGTGACCTAACTCTCTTGTCAATTGGAAAACTCGAGCCGCGCAGATTATCGGCATACGAATCCTTCTCCCTCTTCCATCGACTTTGCTGTGTCGGTCTTTAGACGGTGGTTTCTTCACGGCGTTAAGAGTTCCTTTCGTTGTTGTTGTCTGCTCTGTTATGACGCCGTTAGTCACTGCTCCGTCGTTATTCGCCATGAGATGATTTAGGGTTCCAGGGATTTCTCTTTCTGTAGCTCGAGGGGGAAAGAAGAAGAAATGTGAATGATTTGAGAGATGCTGGTGGAGACAGGAAGAAGGGCACATGGCTGGTGGGCTCCACACAGCTAAAATAATTCTTTTTTCATTTTAAAAGACGTTAAAATTAAT